GGACCCAGGTTTGGTTTTCAGCAGTTAATTTTCTGTAGCTTCAGTTCCAGGGGATCTGATATCCTCTTGTAGCCTTTGTGGGCATTGCATGCAAGGATGTATTTACATCATGCAGGCATAACACTCATACACACAAAATAAAAACAAATATACTATTTAAATTTTTTTAAAGGACAGTAGAAAATAAGTTAGGAGAGTGGAACAGGATGAGATTTTAGAGAATTTTTAATAATTGTTAAGCAGTGTGTGATCTGTCATTGCCATATGTGCCTTGGGAACCACTGATAGATTTGAAAGATTAATTTGTTAACAGAGACATGATGTGACTCAAGCAGGCAGTGACATATATAGACTTGGTACTCAAGAGAGGAGCAGAGCCGAAGATATATATTTGAGTCTCAGCAGGGTATGGTGGTACGTACCTTTAATCGCAGCACTCAGGAGGCAGAGGTAGGTGGATCTCTATGAGATCAAGGCCAGCCTGGTCTAAATAGTGAGTTCTAGGTGAGCTGGGGCTCCAGGAAGACCCTGTCTCAAAAAAAAAAAAAAAAAATTGAATCTCTATTGGTTTAAAGATTGTGTCGGTAGCCATAAAACTTGATGAGATCATCTAAATAGTTCAGAAAAAGAGGGCTCAAGTCAGATCTTTGAGGCAATCCAACTTTTAGAGATTTGGTAGGGAGAAGTAAGGACAGGAAGCACAATAGCTGAGTATTGTATCACAGAAGACAATGGGAAAAGCTGTTTTTAGAATGAGGGAGCAGTTCATTGTCAAGCAGTGAGGAAGGCTTGTTGAGAACAGGGGCAGTGAGGTAACGTACTCAAAGTAGAAGAGATGAGTCTGATTTGCTCTAAAGGCATTAATCCTCACAACCAATGTTGGTGCCTAAAAACCTCCCTTGATTTGTTCTTGCCTAGTTTAGCATCTTTACTAAAAGGATATTTGGGTATGGGTAAAGACAGTGGGTCACGGGGAGAGTGAAGGCAAAAGTTATCTTGAAAGGGATAATCCAATTTAAAAACTGTATAAATCATAATATAAAATTCAGGCTTAATTACTGGTTATGAAATAATTCTAATAGGTATTTTTATAAATAATAATGATGCTTCTTTCATTGGAAATGTGCTTTTATTGACCTCAAATGGAACACTTAAACTCTTAGTAATAGTAGTTTCAGAAGTGAGGAACTGTAAAACTGCAAACCTGAAAAATATTTCAAACAAAGATCTCAAAATTTCAGATTATGAACACCACTTAAATACGACATCACTAGGTCTAGGTAAGACTGACTAGCAAATACCTTACACAAAGTAGTGGCTTAGCTCACTCAGGTTTCACAGAATTACAAAACAGCACACCGAAACCAGGTTTTCAAGAACGAGGTTTTAAACAAAGAATAGTCCAGTTGAATTGCTCTTTCTCTGTACTTGTCTTCATTTTTTACAGATGAAAAAAATCAACCATTACTATTGTACTGTCATCCTCAATCTGTGCATATCAAAACAGAAGCTCCCTCAGAAATGGTAAAGTTGCCATTACTGATAATCTTTAAAGTCAAAACTTGTTCCAAGCAGTTCTGAATAAACTTGTCTAGGGAGATCAAAATACTTTAAATGAACACCGTTCATAGTAAACCCCATCAATCAGAAGAGTTAAGCATAAATAATACAATTTTTTATTTAGAGTTAAATTTTAATCTTCATGTAGAGTTTAGGTTGGATTCCGTGTGTCTGAATTTCCTGAATACATTTTTTAACATGAGGATTTCATGAACACAGAACCCAAAGTGAAAGGCAACTGCAACTAACAAGTTCTGGGACATTGGAGCCTTAGTTTTGTCAACTATAAAATGGAAATTCTACCACTTGTCCTGATCTCTCATATTCCAGAGACTCAAGACTCATATTCATAGCCTGAGGGCCTTGGAGGGCCTCCTAACCCAAGAAAGGGAAATTCCACACCAAGGAAACAACACAGGAATTAACTTTGCCTGCATAAGGCCTCAAACAAGGAATCTGAAGTAGTTTCTGTCTTTAGGAGCCTGCAATGCATAGCTCTTTAGAGAAGACCAAAACTCTCTTAGAGATCTATGCACACGTATAAATTGCTTATTCCAATTCGTTTCTCTCATTCTGTTCATAACTGAGAAGCAGTGGTGTCAGAATGCACTGAGCTGGGAAACGGGAGGTGAACTAGAGTGGCTGGGCACTCATGTGGAAACTGTTTAACATGTGAGTTGGAAAAGCTCCCTCAATAGGAAGAAGAATGTGTTTTCTCTCACCATAAGACACACTTTAAGTGTTATTTTCAAAGACATAATCCTTTTCACCGTGGCACTCTTCCCTGCATCCGGAAGCACTGCTGCCCTTTCCTTGGCCTGTTGTAAGTTGACAGATGTGAAGTAGGACAGAAATCTTCAGTGTAAGCAAGTGTATTTTAGAATCTTTAGACCTGAGCAGTCACTCCTTCCAGATCATTACTTCAGAGGAGTTGACCTAGTAATGGGGTTGGTACACATGACAATGTCAAGGAAAGGTTTCCAGGAAAACATTCAGCTGAGAAAAATAAAACAGTGCTAATCAAGAACAGTCATGTCCTTTCCCAGTACATGCCCTATAGTACCCAGGAGTATAAAAGGAATCCTGGACTAATTCCTGTTAACACAATGGAGTCTGCACATGCTGTACCCCTCCCTCCCTTCTCAACCCCAAAGATACTGACTCAGCAACTGGCTTAGAGCCAGAGCAGCATATTCCAAATTCAGAGTGTGCAACAATGTTCAGTTCAATTATGATACAATTGGCTGTAAACTAGTTCCTGAAAGCCAAGAAAACCTGAATAATGTGGTTAGGTTATATCAGACATGAAGGTTTAACAGAGTTTAAAAACCAATTTGAAAACGCCTTCCTTCCAAAAAGATAGCACTAAGATGGGGCAAAATCATCCAGTTCAAAGAATGGAAACAAAGTGCACAGGGAATTAATGCAGACTCCATTCTACATTACTCCTCTTGACTAAAACGACCCACTCCCTTTGAGATTAACACTGACCCAGAAGGAAGGCAGTTTTGTTGAAACATGTTAGTCATATTATGCACAGATAGTAATACCAGCTTCCTTGCTATTTAAGAGCACCCAAGCCCATTTCCAAAAACAACAGTTGCAAATTCAAAATGTCTTCCATTTTTAAGTAATATTCTGCTCATTTCCAATTCATCGTCCCAAAGATAATGCCCAAGACCTGCAAGATGTTTCATTACAAATCCAACAATTCATTGATCTTGCAGTATCAATAAGTCATAAGTCTGTACAAGGACAGGCCAATCTGACTGCTGAGGACGATCCACTCTTGCCACCAGGCCCCCACAACTCTGAGTTGTGTTAAGCTCTACAATCTCCTGGGTCCTATTATTTTCTCTCACAGCTATCATTTATTTTGATATTTTGGAACTAGAAAGTGACTTTAGATAAGAAAACTATGCTTAGCTATCTTTCCTACATTATATTTTTAAACTTCTTTCTTTCGAGTTTTCCTTGAAGAATGGCCTATGTTTATATTCAAGGAGACTAACACAGAATTTCAGAACTAGAAGATATGCCTTAAGCTTAACTTCCTTTCTAAACAAAACAAAACAAAAAACCCGAGATGTTGTTTCAAGGCTTCACAAAAAATTATTTTAGCTTTATTTATTTTCATTTTATGTATATGATTATTTTGCCTGTATGTATATAAGTGCATCTGAGTCATGCAAAGTCCATAGAGGCCTGAAGAGGGTATTGGATCCCCTGGAACTGGAGTTACAGACAATAGCTAGCTGCCAGTGAGTGCTGGGAATTGAAACTGGGTTCTCTGTAAGAGCAGTCAGTATGCTTAACTATGAGCCATCTTTCCAGCACCTTAAGGCCCTTTCTTTTAAGATTCATGAGAAGAAAGGAAGACTAAGTTCCATATGGAAAAATCCTCTTAGCATAAAATAATGTTCTGATTTCTAAATCTAAGAAGATTCACATTAATTTCTTTTTAAACTTGAAGAAGCAGCTTGATTTAGACCTCTTTTTCCCACATATATTCCAAATTGTCTCAGTTGACTTTCTTTCAAATTTTTAATTTATTTTTATTTTATGTGTATGAGTGTTATGCCTGCGTGTGTGTAAGTGCACCCATGTCGTGTAGCACCCATGGAGGACAGAAGAGGGTATCAGATCCCCTGGAACTGGAGTTACAGACAGTTGTTAGCTGTCATGTGGGTGCTGGAATATGAATGGGTCCTTTGCAAGAGTAGCCAATGCACTTAACCACTGAGCCATCTTTCCAGTCCCAAGCTGACTTTCTTTTAAATAACAGTATTTTTTCTCTTGGCTAACCAAGACCATGTATATTAAGTAAAAAAAATCAAATAATTTAATGTCATGTCCTTCCCATGTGACTAAACCAGAAATCATTTTCCTATTATTTCATTATTAATATGAAAAAGTACTGGAATAATAAGAAGTTCATTTGTGTACAGCTGTAATACTCATTTTGGCTACAACTGCATTAACAACAGAAGGAAGCAGCATATACCCCATGACTGACCTGTTACAACACAAAATGTGGTCAACTTTGAACTCCACTGGAATGTTGTTAGTAAAGTAGAAAGAACAAGTATGGATTTTCTTCATTGTTATTTGAGCAATCTAGCCTAAAATAGTAACTTGACACAGGTCCTTTCTCCTTGAGACAAGATCAATCTAAGATACTGGTGGCCTGGGTAAACTATTAATTTAGTATACCTTCATAGATCTTCAAACATATGCTGAAAAGATATTTATGTGAGGAGTTGAGTATGGCAGGCTGGAAGGGATATAGAGATAAGGCTATTAGGGCCTTTTAAACTCATATATTTAACTCAGCACAAACAATGCTCTACAATTCACCAGGCTTACGAGGCAGTTTGGTGACCAGCTATAGATTTTCAAATATACCCTTCCCTGGTCCAAGGCGTTAAGCAAAAAATTACTTCCAACTGCACCCAGTGACCCCTGAGAAGTGGTTCTTGTTTGTCTTCTTTTCTCTTCCTTGCAGCACTCCTGCAGATGTTTTCATACTCTTTATTGGCTCAGCCTTCCTTCAGAGACACTGCCTTTTCATTTCTATAGCATGAACTGAGTGTTTGCAATGCACCAGGTGCTAGAAATAGAAAAGTGATTTGAGATACTGTCCCTGGGAAGGTGCTATGCATGCTACCAGAAAGAAAAAATAATTATCAACCTTACCCAGCTATGAATCCTGTGAATACAACAAGTGGCCTGCAAGATATGCCCACCAGTGTAATAGTGGCACGAATATTATGGGAATAACCAATCTCTCTTTAATTGGATTTAAGTTCTGTGTCACAGGATGGAGCTCATACCTGACATTGATATCAGGCTTAGGGACCTGAGTCTAAGACAGTTCACAGGTCATAGGGGAGACTATAACATCAGTTTTCTACTAAATAGTTATATTAAACTAATTTGTAATGATTTACTGTTATACCCATAGATTAACGTATCTCTCAACTCTCACCAGAGAAGTTTCCTTATACAACAGATGGTGATTAACACAGAAACTCGCAACTGGCCAATGTACAAATGGGGAAGTGGGTAAGAAACCCCAACACCACCTATGGAAATTTTGGCAACTGATGGCTGCTGGGAGAAGAGAGACAGTCTCTTTCAAGGATTGGCCTCTTGTTAGGTTAACCAGGCCCCAGTGGATGGACCCATACTGAAGGACATTTAGGGACACAAATTAGTCTTTATAGGCCTTATTATATATGTAATACAGAACATTAAATTGGGCTGGGAGGGCAATAGGGGAGGTGTGCATAGGGGAAGAGATCTATATACTATCAAATTACATTGTGTGAAAATTGCAAAAAATTCAATTAAATAAAAAAATTCTGGAAAATTGAGACCAGTCTGGTCTACATAGTGAGTTCTAGGCCAGTTTGGGTTACAGGGAGACCCTGTTAAATAAATAAATAAATAAATAAATAAATAAATAAATAAAAAGTATTTAAGAAAAAAAATTAAAGAAAAAATTTGTCCGTGCCCTTGAGGAACTCACACCTTGGGCAAAGGAAAGACTGACAACACAGTAGCACAGTAATGAAAGTTATAGCAGTAAAGTGGCCATTACTTACACTGACTGCTACAGGATGGTTGTGATTTGAGCAGATTCTTGTGCCGGAAGCTTGGTCCCCAATCTGGCAGTGCTAAGGTGACAGAACCTTTAAGAGGCAGGACCTGGTGGAAGGTAATTAGGTCACGGGAAGATTACTGCCAACAAACGGGTTAATGTGTTCTCTCAGAATGAATTAGTTCTCTCCAGAGGAAATGTTATAGTACATTTAGCCCTTTTTAGTTTTCTTCTATGATATAACACAGCAAGGAGACCCTTGCCAAGACTTCAGTATCGCAGTGTTTAGATCCTCCAGCCAAATAAATTTCTTTACTTTGTAAATTACCCAGCTTAAAATATTTTGTTAAAGCAATAGAAAACAGATTAAGATATTAGTGAAGACAAACATGGTAGTACACACCTTTAATCTCAGCACTCAGGAGGCAGAGGTAGGTGAGATTGAGGCCAGCCTGGTCTACATAGGGAGTTCCAGGTCATCCGGAGCTATAGGGAGACCCTGTCTCAAAAAATTTTTTTAAAAAAAAGATATTAATGAAAAGATCTGATTGATACATCCTAAAAACAGCAGACACTTTTGAGTTTTGCTTACATTTCTGAACAGTTAATTCTTAGTAAGAATTCAAATGGAGAGTAATATCTTTATGCTTCCTGATCCGTGTCCCTGCGGTACAGGAATAGGGAGTTAGGGATGTGGAATCACGTATCTATGTTAAAGTTAGTCACAACTTTTCATTTTGTATATTCTTCCCCAAGTGATTCTATCTCTAGAAATTTCTAGGTAGTATGAAGGGAAGGACAGTAGATACTCAATCTGTCCTGCCTGTGTAGCTGCACATACCTGATCCAGATGGTGTCCCCACTTCAAAAAATTGCAGACAAGATTAAAAACACACTCAGGAACTATTCCAGCTGGCTTTGGGCTTCCACTGATGTACACTCTGAATAAAGTAGTACAAAAATTAGATTTACAATAAGGAACATAAAAAACCCTCACTACTTATACCAGATCACTTCAAGGTCTTGATATGCTTAAAGCCCAAGCCCTAGCATCAAAGTAAGTAAATAAATTGGCCAGCTAGGGTATATATAAGTTATGAAATACAAAAACTTTAATTAAAACAAACTTATTTTGACAGCATCTCTCTACAGTGCCTCTGGGCACAGTTCCTCTGTGAGTACAATATAGCCAGGTAACTGGAACAAAATAGAAACACAACTCAATAAATTCTGAAGCTAGAGAATCCTCATTTCTATTACTTGCCAATAGTCTACCTAAATAAAACTATAGTCACATATTACTCTAGCGAAATACAAAAAAATATATGGATCCTTTGCTAGAGGTGGCTACAACTGGACCACAGCAAGCAGAAGAAAATCTGGGCTCTGCTTAAAGTACCCTATAAATCTTAATTCTCACAACTGGGCCTTTATGGTTCCAGGCAGTTCCCCAGTAGAATAGGGCCCATGTTATTAGGTTTCAACATCTCACACAGAACCATGATTAGTTCTGCTTTCTCCCAGCGACACAATAACTCAACATTTCCAGGGTACACTGTTTCCCTGCTTTCTGCTGTGGTTGCTGTTTGTAGAGACAAGGTCTCACTGTGTATTCAGGGCTGGCCTGGAGCTTGAGATCGGATGACCTCAGTGCTGGGATTATAAGCAAGCACTGGCACCAAGCACAATTGCCCTTAGGTTTTAATCTTTGCTGTTTACCTATAATATACCTCATGTACACAGTTCTAAATATTGGTAGACAGCTTTTCATGCACTTTTATTTATTTTTTATTTTTTGAGACAGGATCTCACTCTGTAGTCCCAGCTTGCCTGGAACTTCCTACATAGACCATCCCAGGCTGGCTTTGTCTCATAGTGATCTACCTGCCCCTACACCGCCCCCCGCCCTGCCCAGCCCAGTGCTGGGATTAAAGGCTACACCACCATGCCTGGCTTCATATACAGTCTTATAAGCTATTCCACAAAATATTACCAAATGAGATTGTGGCCTCCAACAGCCACTTCAACTTGCTCAACGTCATACACACTGAGCCAACTGAGGTGATTAATTAGCTTAGGCATTGTGTAACTACAGCTTAGGTTGGGAAATGTGCCACAAGTGTTGGAATATAACATAAACACTATCCCTGTCTTTGAGGAACTGAGAATCTTTAGTTCATGCTAGGTCACACTGTGGAGTTTTTTAAAAAGAGCACTAAAATATAAGGTATTATATAAACACGATTAATAAACAAGAATAAAGATTACTCAGGCAAAAAACCACTTAAACCACAGCCTTAGAAACAACCACATACCTATTCATGTTAGTGACAATTTAGGGGAGACAGTCCTACCCTTGAACTTATTAAAAACTTGCATGGGGCTAGAGAGCTGGCTCAGCAGTTAAGAGCACTGAGTGCTCTTGCAGAGGACCTGGTTCGATTCCCAGCACCCACTAGGTGGCTAACAACCATCAGTAATTCTAATTCCATGGGATCCAATGCCCTCTTCTGACCTTCGAGGACACTGCATCACACGGGGTGCACTTACACACATGCAGGCAATACACTCATACACATAAAAATTAAAGAGCAGAAACCTTCCAGGGGTGGTGGCACACACCTTTAATCCTAGCACTTAGGAGACAGAGGCAGGCGGATCTCTGTGAGTTTGAGGCCAGCCTGGCCTACATAACAAGTTCCAGGCCAGCTGGGGCTACAGGGGACCCTATCTCCAAAAGACCAATAAAAAAAAAAAAAGCGCAAAAACCTGTATGAACTGATATTTGTCAGGGGTGACTGACAAGGCTAGGTAATGGTGAGAACTATGAAGTCTCTGATTTATTTTCTCATTGTTCAGATCCCAAAGGGCTGCTTCTGCCCAACAAAACAAAGATGGGGTTCCGACAGCCGGGTCCAGAGGGCCCTGGCACTCACAGTGTTCCCTCCTGCACCTTTTCACCTGAATTAAAGGTCAACGTGGCTGCTCAAAATCATTTATTTAAAAAGGACGTCAACTCAGGAGGCTGTCGAGCGTCCTATCCCACGCACTTCATAGCCTTCAAGTGAACCGGGGCCGGAGCATCTGCGAATCACTGGGCGCAGCATACAGTTGAGATGCTTTCTTTGCAGCGCTGCCTTGCCCTTCCGTCATTTATTCTACCACCGGAGCGCGGTCGCCGCGTTGGGAAGTTCCTCGGGCGGTCCCGGCTCAATGAAATGCCCGGAAGGCCATGGACACCCGCACCCCGCGGCTCTGAGTAGGGATCGCACCTTCCTCTGCCGGAACGGCCCCGGGAGCCCAGAGAGCCAGCGCGTCGCCCACCTCAGCCAGGCCGCAAGGCCGCCACTTCCGCCCGCCGCACTTCCGCCGCGCGCCGCACTTCCGGCCCGCGCTCGCCGCCCTGCTGGCTGGTGTCGCGTCTTCTTAGATCCTATCGTCTTCCTAGGCGGGCAGGCAGAGCCTGAGTCGCTAGTATGAGACGTAAAGACCAAGGCCAACCCCAAGAGCAACCCAAAATATATTGAAAAGAAAGAAAAGAGGAAAGTAAAAAGGAGAAAGGAAGGGAGGAAGAAAAGATAAAAGGAAACCATTTGATAACCAACCCTAGGGGTGGGAGCCGGTCATTCGAGACTGTGTAGTCCAGGTCATTTTAACCTCTCTCTGCATGTATTCATTTCTTAAGGTAATGGTTTCTGTCCTCCTCCTCCTTTGGATTGGGGTTGAACTAGGTTATAAAGAACAGGATGAGCAAAACTGGCAGTCGTACCTCCCCAAACTTAACAACCTTATAATTTTGTAGGCAAGGCAGACATTAGGAAAATTTGACCTAAACATTTTGAGGAGAAGAAATATGACATCAAAAGATAGGAGTGTGAACTATTTAAAATAGGTAGCTTTGGGGCTGGGATGTGACAAACCTGACTGAGACAGGAACAGAACTCTAGGCTGAAGGAGCACAGCAAGGACCATGTACAGACAATTGACTAGAATGAAGCCTGAAGAGAATGGGAAAGAGAAGTGAAAAGCCGCTGGAGAGTTAAAGCCTGAGAAAGGCTAGGTGGGGTTGGGGGTGGGGCAAGCTTGTGCTAGGGGCAGCTGGAAGGCTTTCTATGACTGTCCCTGTATAGGAAAGAGCTGCTGTGGTCGCTTTTGTAATGATTTAGTATAGGAGGGACAAACAGGGAAATCAGGAGGCAACTGCACAGTCTTGGCCCCCTTGCTGGTATCCTAAGAAGTGAGGAAATGATGGGTAATAATTATAACAAAATTGAAACCAGTATTTATTTTAATTTTTTTGGATTTTATATTTTATATGTTTAAGTGTTTGCTTGTATGTAAATTCAACTGGACATTGGAGGCCAGAAAAGGGTGTTGGAGTCCCTGCAACTGGAGTTTTTGACGGTTGTTAGCCACCATGTAGATACTAGGAACCAAACCCAGGACCTCTATAGGAGCAGCCAGTGGTCTTAATCTCTGAGCCATCTCCCCAGCTCCTGAAACCAGTATTTATTATTTACCCAAAGCTTTGAAATTCTTGTTTAATCCTGAAAACAATTTTTAAGTACCGTTTTACACATGATGAAATAATAACCTGCCCAAATTCTCATAGATGGAAAGTGGCAGATTGAAATTCCATCTCATACTGACTGCTGCCAGTATCTGTGGGTTTATCACACTCAATGTCTATTCAGTGTTTAGAAAAAGAAAACAGGCCAGTAATGAATCCCCAAAACAAACCACACTGATTATGTGATATTGGCAGAGAGCACATTCTGAAAGTAGAATTTTCAAGTTCATATTTACCACTTCAGCATTTGTTGACAGTCCCAAAAGAGAATTCAGGCACTGTAAACCACCTATGATTATTTTTTATTGATACACTCTGATAAGATGTAATCTTTCTGAGGGGGAAATGTCACTCTTGAACAGTTACTAATAGAGTACTGTTCTGATTTGCTTTCAATTGCTGTGACAAGACACTCCGACCAATACCAATTTAGGGAGGAAAGGGTTTCTTTGGCTTACATCTCTCGAGTTGCAGTTCATCAATGAGGAAGCCCAAGGCAGGAACCTGAAGGCAGGAGCTAAAGCCCACAGGCCATGGAGGGATACTGCTTACTGACTTGGTCCTTTGGCCCATGCTCAGTCTTCTTTCTTATACATCACAAGACAACTTGCCCATGGGTGGCACTGCCCACAGTGGGCTGGGCCCTCCTGCATTACTCAGCAATCAAGAAAATACCCCACAGACATGGCCACAGTCTGGACCAATTGAGACAATTCCTCAATAGAGACTTCCTCTACCCAGGTGTGTCAAGTTGACAACTAAAGCTATCTAGCACAAGCACTAATAAAGTATCTCTTAAGAAGTAACCTTGTAGGGTTGGAGAGATGGCTCAGTAGTTAAGAGCACTGGATGCTCTTTCAGACTACCTGGGCTTGGCTCCCAGCAGCCATGTGGCGGCTAACAAGTATCCATAATTCCAGTTCCAGGGGATTCAACACTGACCTCTGGTCTCTGAGGCATGGCACATATGCGTGTACTTGCATACATGCAGGCAAACACATATACATAATATTAATTTTTTTAATTCAAAAAGAAGTAATCTTGTGTCTAGCTATAAGCATCTTGATAGAGCATATGTATTGGATGTTTTGTGGAGCCATAAAGCTTCCTAGAAATGTAATCCCAGATCAGTTTCCAATTTTCATATAGTTGGAAAATGAAGTTTCACAGAATCAGTTGGATTTATGAAATCTGATTTCACAAACTGAAAAAGAAAATAGTTTTCTCAAAGGCCACAATGAAAGCTTTCTAGCACTGGTTAAAGGCACATTTCCTTAAGAAGTCAAAAGTTCATTCATTTGCAGAGTTTGAGTTTAATTAGTAAGAATTTCTTGGGCAGTTATATGGTTGTTAAGATATAGCACAAGGCTTGGAATCTGTACATAGTGTTTCCCTTAAAAGTGGGATTGTCATGAAATGGCTGTGAATCCTAGAAATTCACTGTTTTCAGAGCCCAGTCACCTTGGGATAGGGCTGTTATCCTAGATGACCGTTTGACTTCTAGGCCCAGAATTCCAAGTTCCTAGTGCTGAGCACAGGACCTTTGTTTGAGGAAATTTATAGGGCTTTACCAGGAGAAAATGATTGTTTTCTTCCCCCTCAAATGGCCACAGTAAAATTGTAAACATTTATTCAGTGGTCACAAAGTAAAATGTTGTAATAAGCTTCGCTAATGACTGGATTTAGCCTTGTTATAACTTCTTCATATTTGAAAACAAATTTTAGGCGAGATACTCTCATCAAGTGAGAGCTTCTACACTGTGATGAGGCCTAGGAAATTGCAGCATAATTGTTAGTTATTTTAGCCAAATAATTTCAAAACCAAAATTACAAGTTTCTTTTATAGAAAAATTATTAAATGGGGGCTGTTCACAGCTTTTAGTATGTTTCAAATGATCTGAAAGTAAGACTGAGGGTCTTTATATAACACTGGGTCTGTATCATTATGTTTATTCAGAATATGCTTGTCATAGACATTTGGCCTATATCTTGCCCTCTAGATGTGGACTCCAATTCTAGTCTTAGTTTTGAGAATTTGGATAGCACTGGATAGAAGCTGCAGTTCGTGTGTTTTGTTATGTCAGAAACTTGGTTTTATCCTTAGATCATAAGGCTCTGTTAGCTTAATGGTCTTCTCTGAGGCTTCAACTTACTCTAGAGAAAGCCTGCTGGGAAGGGCTGGACTGTAACGCCTGAGATAAGTCAAGGGTACTTTAGATGGCATACTATCTGTTCTTCCAGAAATGACTTGGAATCAGGCTTCTGTTTAAGGCCTTATAAGGGCTGGGCATATGGGTGTGGGAGGAGGTGTCTTCACTCTTTCCCCTGACTTTGCCACTGAGAAAACAGGAGTACAGAAATGGCTATTGGTATGAAAGCTTTCCCTTCAGAATATTTGAGAAAAATAACATCTTGGCAGGTAGTGATTGTCATACCTGCCCTATTTTACAGTAGCCTAGATTTGTACTGACACTCAAAGAGCATATAGCTTGGACTTTGACTAAGAGGGGTTATTCAAGTAATTGCTACAGTTGGGTGATGTGATGGCACATGTATTCAGAGACCTGGGAGCGTTTCTTCCCTGGTGTTTTTCTGGTCTTTATGAAGAGCAACATTTAAAAAAAAAAAATCTCATCAGTCTTTCTTTGCAAGTACTGCAAACTGCAGGAAATTATCTGAAAGGGCCAGATATTGGGTTATGTTTAAGGTCATAACAAAAAACAGTGGCAACCTCCCAAAGAAAAGACATGCTTCTGAGTCCAGGATGCGTTGGGTCCTCGGGGCCACTGTTGACTACTCCCATGTCAACCACTGTAGGAAACAGAATCATTAAGCCTGTTACACCAGGAGAGAATGGTCCTCAGAAACTTGATTTCTGTATCCCTTTTGACACTTAAAAACTCTTGTCCAGACATTAGGAAGAGAGGGAAAAATTTTTCAAAGAAGAAAAATGCTTGTTTTAAGCCTTGCTCAAGTAATTCACTTATGCCATTTACATTAGTTAAACAACCTTTCTGTGTAAACACCATTAATTATGTAGAATAAGAGTCAAATAAAAATGCTAAAAAATAAAAGTAATTGTAGAATAAATTAGTACAGCTTGAGTGCCCATACATTATAGAGAGACTGTAGACGTTTACAGAGGTGGATGTGTGATTTTTCTATTGTTTGAGCTAGTAAGATGGAACCAACAGAAATGACATTTTACAGATGGATACCAAAGCTGTTAAAGTTTAAATCCACACTGGCAATGAAATTACAGTTTTCACAGGGGCCTTGACTCTGGCCTCTTTATCTGTGTTAAAAAGCTGTGGGGTGAGATGATGTTTGAGTGTCTTGTGGATCTCACCAGAAGGTTTGTTGGAGCCAGACCATTTTTGTCAACTCCAAAATCAGTAGCCTCCAACTTCCTTTCACATGTAATAACAGAAGATTGCTTGTGTCAGTGCTAAAGGAAATGAATCAATGTGTAGCCTGACAGCCAAAAAGAAAAAGGGCAGGGACTGAAGCTGTTGAGGAAATGGGCTGTAGGAGACCTTGTAGTAGCAGTAACAGTATTATCTGTTTTTTTACAGTTTACATTTTATTACTATTTGTAGTGTTTCGAGGGTTTTGTTCATTCTTCACAATGATTCTTCAAGATAGAATGTACATTTTCGTCATCCCATTTTACAGATAGGGAAATTGAAACTTAGGAAAGAAGATCACAATGAAACAGGAAAGCATTTCCTCACTCCTGTCTGTATTTTTCTACCTCATTTATGTTTTTAAATGCGAGTGAAAGGAACTATG